GCACATACTTTCTCCCTTGCTTTCTGCACACACACACATATGCATATGCACACACACGCACGCACACACACGCACACACATGCACACACCCCTTCCACAGGCATCCTGGCTGCCACTCCTTCCCTAACAACCACACACACACAAACGAGCAGATGAACACATACACACACATGCACATATGCATAAACACATATAAACAAAAACACACCCTTTTGCTCAAACGCACGTCCTGTTTTTTCTCACAGTCAAACATCGACACACACACGCACCGAAAATCTCGCTAATAATGTTCACATTCAAAATGCAAAATAGCAGACATTTTCTTCGTTGTCTTCTTGCACACACACACACACACACACACACACTGCTCATCACCAACATTTGTGCACCAATCTGTTGTTAAGTAGCACGAATAAAAGAAATAACTGAAATTTTAGCCAAGATCAATTTACTGCAGCCCACACACACACCCTCACAAATCCGATCAGTAACTTTAAAAAAAAAATGTAGTTTTTACACCAAACTATAAACAAAATGATGCAACTGCTGTAAAGCAGTCATGGCGGCCCTAACTGGGAGCTAAACAGTACTGAGTTTGTCAAATTAGAGTTCCTGTTGTCCGACTGGTACTGTAAATTTTCATTCAAACTCCCACTGTGAGGAGGTCTGGTTTCTATTAAGCTGTTTAAAGCCCCTTTTAGACATAAAATAGTGTAAATGATGCGAGTTTACTGTAGCTCAAATTGAAATAAATGGTATGGAAAATGTATTTTATGCATCATTTCATTCTATGTAAACTCAGTGTAAAAAGAAATAAAGACATCCATCCATCCACACTCCTGACCACCTATCCAGTTAGGGTTGTGGGAGGGCGTTGCTGGAGCCCACAGCATGTGACACCATCTTGGAAAGGCTGCCAGTCCAATACAGTCCAACACACTGAGAAGCAACTGTTCATGCTTACGCACGACCAATTTAGAATCACTAATTAACCGAGCACTGGCAAACTCCAGATTATAGTGTTCTTACACATAATCCTGGGTTGTTATGTTTGACATACTCAGGCACAAGGCTCGGCAGAGACTTCTGGAGGCTGCTTTTGGCAAACTTGTAAGACATTGGTGCAAACCTGAAAGAGATCATGGTAACAAACCTGGTGAGGCAAACTTTGACTCATCTGTCAGATGGTTCCTCCCCTGGGATTTCACTTCGGGCTTATTGAGACTTACTGTTTAGATGATGTACAGTCAGCATCCATTTCATCAAACCCTGCTAGTACCAGGCGGGACGCCCTTTTTGCCTTCAGAACCACCCTAACTCGTCACGGTATAGATTAAACAAGATGCTGGACACTCAGAGTCCTCAGAGTTTTTGGTCCACGTTAACATGATAGCATCACACAATTTCTGCAGATTTTTCAGCTCCGTATCAATAACGAGAACCTTCTGTTCCACCAAAGCTGCTATTTGATTGAGATCTGATCTGACAGTGGGGGCCTTTTGAATACAGTGAACTCACTGTCATGTTCAGGAAACCAGTCCGAGATGATCTGAGCTTTCTGACAGGGTGTGTTATCCTGTAGAAATAGCAATGAGAAGATGACTACACTCTGTCCATAAAAGGACAGACGTGGTCAGCAATAATAGACCACCAGCCTGGACCATTGATATGAGGCAGGATGGATGCATGCTTTCATGTTGTTGTTTACTCCAAATTCTGACCAGACCATCCAAGAGAAACTGAGAGTCAAAGAATAATCTCTATAATCTCTGATGCACTTTTGGTGCGCCTGTGTGAAGTTTCCTGTCAGTACCTGATAGAAGTGGCACCAAATTCATACTCATCTTCTTCTTCTTCCTGCTCCTTTTAGGGGTCGCCACAGCGGATCATCTGCTTCTATCTCACCATATCCCCAACATCCTCTCCCGTCACGCCAACCCTCTGCGACTCCTTGTTCACTAAATATTTTTCAAGGTCATCCTCATTTTCTCCTACCTGGTAACTCCATCTTCAACATCCTTTGTCAATGTCCAAACATCCCTGGATTATTTCTTTAACTTATCCCTCGACCTAAACTGACCCTGCGATGTACTCACTTCTAATCCAGTCGATTCTGTTCAATCCTCGGGAAAATGTTAGCATCTGGAAATCTGGTCTTTTTTTTTTCAAGAAAATTTTTTTTTAAATGTTCTAAATAGTTGAAAAAGTAGGCCTGTGAATATATGCAGCACTCTAAGATAGAGCACTGGATTTTGGAAGAAAAGAATCATTAATAAAAGATGAAGAAAGTATCCCTTAACTACAGCCCTCCCCATCATCCTTTAATATGTCACTTTCTGTTTACAGTGTTAAAGCAGTGTGTTCAAACTAACTTGTTTCCCAGCTGCTGTTGGCTGACCAGAAATGTAAATGTCAATAACATTAAAGAAAGTGATGAGTACGGTACATCAATTCATTTCATAGACCATCAGAGATAAAGGAAGTTGCTCATGCATTGTTTAAATGCATGCGCATTAATCCAGCTAATGAAATCCCAGGAAGTTTTTCAGTGTGAAAAAACGTTTCATCACTCATCCAGGTGACTTCTTCCAACCACATAAACAGTACAGCTGCATTAATGATTAAAAGCTGTCCCACTACATGACACATACACAGACTCTCATGACCACTGATCAGCGTCCATGTGAACCCTTCACAAAGAGTCGGGGATGGTTTTATAGAAACGGCCTCCTTGACTCCCCACTCAAACAGCGGTGCTTGTTTTGACCATTATGCAACTGAACAGAGTCAACTTTCTGGAATTAATCATACATTCTTTATTACTACAATCTTTACAGCATGCACTATAGCTACAGTGTGTTTGCTGTGTATGAAGCCGTGATGGTAACCCGATCCTCCCTTTGTGTTTTAACCCATTTGTCTGTAGCTCAGTTGGTCTCCCCCAGAGGTTAAAAAAAAAGAAGAAAGACAGCGCCTTGTGGTGTGACAAACTGTATTTGTAAAGATCAAACACTGATAAAAGTGTAAAACCGAAAATCAGTCAATCTTAAGAATACACAAAAACAAAATAATTGGTGTGCAAGGAATGTAACCACGGTGCTTTCCATGAAAATGTTAGCAAAGGAAAGACTAAATGTAGTGGTACGTCAGTCCATATCAGACAGATTATTAGGAACAGCACAGACAGAATAAAAGTTTTAAATATGAAGCCATTGAATCTTGAAGTCAGTGTAATACTTTCTAAAATGTGCTGCCTAAACTGACTATTTCCCTTTCAGATATCAAGGCACAGGGCACACAGTCATTGCCACCAACCTTAACTAGAGCCTTCTTTCACTGTGAAAAGCCAGCAGTCAGCTTTTGCAATTACTCAGTTTCTTATACTGGATTATAAAGAATTATTCGCAAGGACTGCGTTATTTAAACTGGACTCTAACTTTTAAATTACATCCCGTTCTTTAGTTTTTGGCCAAATTTGATATACCTCTTCTAACCTCTAATAGCTCTTGGTCTACTTCAAACCAAACCTCTAAAATTTAAAGAACTGAGAACGGAAGACAAGAGAATAAATGAAAAGAAAAGTCAGCCTTGTGAGCTCCAGCAGCAGGAATGACAGAGTAATGAGCAAGAGGAAACATAAACTACATCTCCAACCCATACAGTGTACACAGCAGCCATATTTCATTAACAGTGAATCACATAAAAACACTGCTGAAACTCCAAAGCAGATAATCAGAATGATTTTGTGCTGTGTGGTGTGCGGGTAACAGATGAAGCCAATAGGTTGAGTAAGTCTCATTTTCTCAGGGCCAACATTTCATCTCCGAAATTAATCAGATTTCAAATGACCAAATGCATTTAGGTCTCCTTCCGGTGCAAAAATGTAGTTGGAAAAAAAGCCCGTGAGCAGTTGAGGTGCCCCGAACATCACACGGTCTTGTTTACTCCCAGTGCACCTGCCGTCAGTTAACCAGCCCACAGATGCTAAACACAGCAAGCACAGAGCCAAGCAAAGAAAACCTTTATAAAAAGTTGAAATATAAATGGTGCCCTTGTCGTTAGAATAAAAAGAGTGCTTTTGTAAAATACCTGCTAAAACTCTTCCATCAGCCTTTCTGTCTAATTTATCCTCCACATCATTATGGATAAGTGCCTATCTAGGCAAGACTTCCCTATAAAGGATCCCATTTACTTTATCTTCTCTGTTTCTTACCCCGAGCCTTCATACATCTTTAAAGACAATCTGAGTCTTCGGCTAATTTAATTAGCAGCCTCATCCAGGTTAGGCAGACAGGTAAGGTAGGATTTGGGCATCGCTTCTGACTCTGATACTATCTGATACGTGATCAATTTAACCAGTTACTGTGTATGTGACTGCAGATGCAGTCAAAAAGAGCCGTGTGCCTGTTGTAAAGTACAACTGATGCATGTAGATCATGTAAAACAGCTACTTTTGCATTAAAACAAATAAAAGTTGCACCTCAAATGATCTGTATTAAGGTTTTAAGGCCTTGTTTCTTTTTATAGCACGAGTTTGCAAACTTTTGGCTTTTAGGAGTATAGAACATTTATGCTATACTCCTGCTTTAGAGCCCGAGTCATTGATGAGGTTAGACTGATTTATTTCATTGCTAATAAAGTGCTAAAAAAAAAACAACCCACAAACGTAATATTAAATTAAGATACTTAACATCAGAGGAAATTAAGAAAGAAAAGGAGGACTCCAAGCAGTTGCACTATGTAAACACTAGAGGGTGCTGCTAACATATTTTTTCTTTCATGCACTCAACATCTCCAAGAAATGATCTGCATGTTATGATAGCCCCAGTGTTTACAGCTAATATAAATTAAATATGCCCATTGCTGATCACATGTTTCGTGTGCTGCAGGGCATCCAAAGGAAATCGTTTCAGTTGTATCAAAGGAGACATGTAAGCCTAAACTAAGAAAGAAAGAAAGAAAGAAAGAAAGAAAGAAAGAAAGAAAGAAAGAAAGAAAGAAAGAAAGAAAGAATAGAGATGTGCTACACTCTGCCATAAATGTCACAGCATGGTGTTTTCCTCTCTCTCATTCATATACATATATGAATGAACAGTAACCCAGTTTTCTCATCTCCCTGTCAGTAGTAATCGGTCTCTTGCAGCTGGCTGTTTCTATTTCTGTTCCCCGTCTTTTACTTTGTTCCTGACGTTGACTGGACCCCTTGCTCTGCAACTACCTTCTCAATACCTTCACCAATCTCCGCCATTTATCTCCCTAATCTTTTTCCTTCCTCATCGACCCTTCCCACATCTCCATCTCATCTCCGAGTGCTTCTCCTGTTCCTGGCCCGCGTGGTCCTTGCTCCTTCCTTGACGATGACCGAGGGCAGGTCTTTCAAGGTGTTGGCAGCCGTCTTGCTCCAGTAGTTGACCTCTTTGTAGACCCGGTACACCCAAAGCTTCAGGTCAAGCAGACCGGTTGGGACATTTACCTGCCAATGACAAGAGGAGACAACCGTAAACCATGCTTTAGTTTCAGTCCAACACTTTCACCTTTACCACCTCAGGACCTACCTCCAAGCCCTCCACACTAGGAGTCAGGGAAGTCGTGCCTTCAGCAGCTTTGAGGAGTTCTCCAGTGCTAAGTATGAGCAGCGGCAACCTTTCTTTCACCAGCTTCCTCTTGTTCTCATACTTGCCCTTCTTGCCACCACCCAGCTCCTCCTCCTCTTTGGCAACAGCTTTCTCTAGCAACTTTTGGCATTGTAGCAACGCCGAGTGGATGCGCCAGAGTTTGTCTCTGGTATCCAGCTGGGAAGAAGGAGGAGGGACAGACACCAGACGACGGTCAGTCACATCCTCGGTGAAGTTCTCCTTCTTTCTCTTGGGGAAGAAAAAGAGAAACACAAGACAAACGTGTCAGACTTTGTAACAAAAGTGAGGTTTCTTTTGAAAGAATATCAATCAGAGAGAGAGATAGAAATAGAAGAAGGGGAAACTGGAAAGTAGTATAAGTGGAGGTCTGTTTTCAGCAAGTCATTACATTACTTTCAACTGCAATTTGGCCTTTACAGAGGACCACTGACAATGAGGCAACAGGGACTTCCTCCTAATGCAAAAGGAATTTGCTTGGGATCATTTACTAAAGGCTGTCACATTATAGTGGAATTTTCACTTAGTCCAGTTCCAGTAAAGACTTACTAAGTAAACAAGTAAAAGGTTAAAATAACAGACGCACCATAGAAGCAATGGCAAGGTCTTGAATAATCAGGCCCCGTATTATCTCACTGACATGGTATCACCCCATTAAAGCACTTCACTCTCAGACTGCAGGCTTCTTTGTGGTTCTTGAGTATTTGAAAGTAGAATGGGAGGCAGAGCCTTCAGCTTTCAGGCCCGTCTTCTGTGGAACCAGCTTCCAGTTAGGATTCAGGAGACGGACACCCTCCCCACTTTTAAGATTAGGCTTAAAACTTTCCTTTGTTATAAAGCTTATAGTTAAGGCTGGATCAAGATACCCTGAATCCTCCGCCCCCTCCCTTAGCCTGGTTCTGCTTTAGCTTCCTTCCTGTTAAAAGGGAATTTTTCCTTTCCACTGTTGCTTTTTTTAAGTAGTCTAAGAATGAATGTCCTTCAAGAAGCCTGGAGAACCAACTCATCTTTCAATGTTGGCTGCTGTTTGTTCTGTTCTCTTCTCTCTGTCAAGATGACCCACATTGCCTCAGTGATGTTGATGTCTGGACTAATCCATGACTGATCGTGTCCCAGTGTCCCACTGTGTGTATTTTAATCCAGGTATACTTTTACTGCATTGACAGTGTGTTTAGGATCATTGTTAAGCTGTAATAGGCCAACTGGACACTTTCTACAAAGCATAGGTATTGTGGTACAGTGGATCAAAATCTGCTGTTACTTTTCTTCATTCATAATTCTATTGACTTTGACAACATCTCCGACACCACTGGTTGATATGCGGCCGCGAACCATAACAGAGCCTCTACCATGATTTGCAGATGGCTGTAGACACTTGGCCATCTGTAAAACACACAAATGGCCGAGTTGTGCCCCTTTCCCCAATTACCTTTAATACAATACTGACAGTTTTACCAAAAATTACAAATTCAGATTCATCACTTCATGAGACCTGTTGTCACTAATTTTAAGTCAAGTTCTTGCATAATTTTCCATTGAGAACATTTCAGAGGAGGCTTTGACAAATGGCACGTGGATCAGCTGAAGAGCTAGGTGCATCTCTCAGGTCCTGTGCCAGGTCTTTGCTGAGCTGTTTTGTATTTCATAAGGACATGACTTTCAGTTACTGTTCATCTACTGTAGACAGTCTTTTAGGCCTGATACCTCTTCTTTTCTCCCCCACTTGTCCAGTCAAATTGTGAGGATACACTGCACGCTGTGCAAAGATGTACCGAGTGTTCAGCCAATAGCTCTTTGGGAATCACCTTTTGTGACAGGCTAGTAGTAACAAAATGCCTAGACATGCAATGCAAGTTATCTGCTTAAGACCGCCTTTAAAAAATAAAAAAAAATTACAAGAAGGTTTGGTTCCTTGAAAAGAAAATTGGAAAAATCTTTCTGCCATTCTGCTGAGGCATTAATGTGCAACCCTGCAAGTCAGAACTAGCCTGACACAGCAGCCTGAATGTGGCCTGTGTGCTTCGAAAGTCAGCAAAGGAAATTTATATTTACTCCTGGCGTGAGTCAGGCAGTTATGGATACACCAAGAAGTGTTTTCAAAGCCAGAAACAGTGCACTTATGGAGTATTAGGAGTTCTGATAAGCTCTGGAAACGGCTTAAGTGGTTTTCAAGAGGAAATTGATGTTGCAAACCTGGGTTTTCCCACCCAGTATGCAAAAGAGTGGGGCAGCGTGCCTGGAGACAATAACACGATAAAAAATAATCTTCAATAGTGTGCATTTGATTCACTGACACTTGCGTGCCAAAGATTTGGAAGAAGATCTGTTTCAGTGTCAGTGATTCCAGGTGTGGTATAAAACAAAAATGCAGATGAATATACATAAATTTCTGTGTGACAAGCTAAGACAAGTCCAACTCGTACATAACATGTTCACTGGAAGGTAACCTGCAAACCGTGAGGGGGGGAAAAAAAAGGAGAAAAGGGGGTAAATTTGGATATTGGTGATAAAGGGAGTCACATGGATGGAAGTGAAGCAGTGTGCCCGGCCACTCCCTTGCTCCTAGCAAGGCCACATGAAAGGAAGGATGGATAAGGCAAACTGGCAGGAAACCAAGAAGTTGTAATAAACAGTCGCTCTCACACCTTTTGGCAAAGAGAGGCAAGCTGGTGGAAAAGAGATGAAGGCTTTGTGCCCAAGCATTGATGACTGTGTGCCAAAAACACCCACCTATGTCATTCCAAACACTTCACCCCCTCTCTGCTCTGCATTCCTACCCCCTGCTGTCCTAGACATAATTTCCTTCTATTTCAAACACACACACACTCTCTCTCTCTCTCTCTCTCCCTTCTTATCTTGCACTTGCACACATCCCTTTCATCATCCTTTTGTACTCTCTCTTACATACATACATACACACACTTTGACAGTGTAGCTCCTTGGAAACACACACACACACACACACACACACACACACACACACACACACACACACACAATATCTATTAATTTTCCTTTTAACCTTGGCCCATTTCTCTCTGTCACGCACACACTCTTCCTCAGACTTTCTCTCTCTCGCTCACTCTAAAAGCAAACTGTGACCTGCTGGCAGGCTGCAGCCAGTGTGTGTGTGTGTGTGTGTGTGTGTGTGTGTGTGTGTGTTGGGGGGGGGATAAGTTCTTATACTCACAAAGAGTTCCAGTAAGGTGGAGCACTCATAGTGCAGCAGATCGGCTAGAGCAGCGGCCCTTGCCGGCGCGGTTCTGCTCCCATTCGAGCCGTTTATGCCTCTGGTCGACCTCCCTGCCATTGAACCTCAACTTGAAGACGCGCTCACTTGTGGTAGCAGCAGAGCAGACCAGCCCCTAATATACTCCCGGTTACGCCTGCTTCATCCCGATATCATCGGATTCCCGGCTCATTTCAGCCTGCCCATCAGCTCCCACTCAGCGCTGCGTTAATTAGAGCCACAGAGTCAGTCTTGTCTGAGGTTTCCGTAAAACCACTTCGGTTTGTCCGACCTCCTCTGCTTACAGTTCGGTACTTGTATTACAGAGTTTAAGGCCAAATCTCCGCCCTTTCCCCGGGGAACTTGATGCCTGACTGGAGGAATTTAACTGGACAAGCGGGGGCGGAGGAGAGGAGTGAGGAGGAGCTCATCAACTTATTCATGAGCAGCTTATCCGATTTACTGGTAGTGACCGAGCCGAGATAGTCTAAATTTAAGTAGTGTGTGTGTGTGTGTGTGTGTTCCCCAATGATAACAAATAAGAGACCAAAAAAAAAAAAAATCAACAGCTGAAACTAGAAGTTGCCATCATCGCTATGGAGACTGACCTCCTAACCACAGCGCTCGAGGACAGGAGCTCACTCCAAATTAGGCCACTTCCGGCTCGTCACATCATCAGATGGAACTTTAATGATGTAATCACTTGTGTCTAACAGGAGGATTACCTAATTACGCAAGAAATATAGCGTCGTCTTTGTTAGCGCAGTCATAGAAAGCAAATCATATTTTTAAAGGAAAAACAAATCAGAGAAAATATTTTTTCCACAACCTAAATATTAAATTCTAAGAGCAAAAATAAGTGGGAATAGTTTTCAGGAGAACTTCCACAGAAAGGGCAGGTCACAGCTAAAGACTTAAATGTGATCTGCCCTGGGATCTAACTTTCTATATAGAATGGACACTTTATTAGGTATGCCTTACTAATGCCGGATTGACACCGAAAATCATACCACGTTAAAAGTTTAAATCACCTTTTTTTTCTCCATTCTAGTGCTCTTCAGCAGGTTTTCTTGACCGTGCTAAAATGCCTAAATGGACCGGGTTGCTACCTTGTGATTGGCTGATTAGATAGTGGTGTTGAAACCTAGTTAAACAAGTGTACCTAACAAAGTGTGCATAGGCCTAACATTGACATTTTCTCAAACTGGTGCCTTGTTTTGCGAGGAATATAACTACAGTTATTATTCTCCACAAGAAAATGAAATGAAAATGGACAGTAAAGTGGATTTTTAACCACTAAAAAGAAAATCATAACCAAATTGTGAAATTTTGACATCACATGTCCTGTCACCATGCTTATAAAGCCATTTTAGCCATCTTTTTTTCTGCAAGTTGGAGCTTTATTTATACAGCACATTTAATGCAAGTAGTCAACAATGAACACTGAATAGACGGATAAACAATAAAAAGCGTATATACACTTTAAAAACGGAACTAAGAGAGAATAACAAAATAAGATAACCACTCTAACGTGATAAAAAAAAGTATACATTTTAGAATGATTTTAGGTGATTTGTGACAGTGAAAGGGAAGGTTTACAAGATGGTAGTGATACTTGCTATGATGTATGATTTCGAGACGGAGGCACTGACAAAAAGACAGGAGGCAGAGGTGAAGAGAGACAGCAGTTAGAAGATAAAGTTAGAGAGCCAAGGCTGAAGTGGTTTGGACATGTGCAGAGGAGGGATAGTACATTGGACAAAGGGTGCTGAAGATGGACCTAGCAGGCAAAGGAAAAGAGGATAATCCACAAAGGGCTGGTGTAATAGAGGAGCATGCCAGAAACAGAGTGACATGAAAGCAGATGATCCGCTGTGACGACCCCCAAGGAGAGCAGCTGGAAGAAGAAAAAGAAGCAGCTTATCTGTGTTGGTCAACTGTCATTTGTGGGTTAGTGGCGTCACAGTTGCAGTACCACTCCTGTCCTGCAGGTGGCAGTGCAGTCTAAACGGGAACGCTGAGCGACGGCTAATGACAGCAGCTAACCTTACAGCAATTTCCCTTGTTTTGTTTATTAAAGAAGGAAAATGGACAACTCTCTTGCCTCGTATATTCACAGATACACCGTTATCGCTTTTTAATCGGGAGGCAGAGCTCTAGCTCCGGTTACAGGTATGAACTCTCTGGTTGGATACGGAGTGTCCTCCGACTCCGACAGCGATGGCGCTGCAGAGGATGTAAACAGTGGCAAAGCTGGGTGAGTAAAAATAAAAATATATCGCAAACACCACTCGGCTAGCCTGGAATAATAATAACTTCTCTTCGTTCTGTTATTGTGTCGTTTTGAAGCTCTGGGAAAACGTGTGAAGAGGAAGCGCCTTTTAAAAAGACCCGCAACTTTTTGCTGGAGTCTGGTTCCGCTTCCAGTGAATCGGAGGCAGAGGACGAGGATCCAGAGCCCTCACCACCACCTACGTCGGCAGCCCGCCCTTCCAAACTGCCTACTCCTTCACTGGACTCCATCACCTCTAAAAAACTGCCCTCTCCAGCGCTAAATGCGTCATCTGACAGCAGCGTGTTTGCCAACCCATTTAAGGCTCAAGCAGACCAGAAGCTCAGCGCCCTGCAGAAGCACGTCCCCCTCACCATGCAGGCCAAACCCTCCCAGATAGGAGGTAAAAGGATATGCATGTCCTACAGGAAAGATGGAAGGTGCAGGTTTGGGATCAAATGTAAATTTGCTCATGACAGTGACCTCCAGAAGCCAATCATCTCCACTGACTGTCATCCACCTGAGAGTGAAGAGACACCAGAAACTGGAGGCGGTTCATCTGGCGGAAGGTCCCAGAGGGAAACAAAGGAGGAAGAGCCAGAAGGGCAGCATGTGAAGAAGAAGAGGGTCGGACTGAGTGACAGCTTGATTCCTCCTAAAAGAGCTATGAAGCAATATACGATGCAAAGGAACAGAGAGCGAGCCAATATGTCCTGACTCACTTCTAGTTACATTACGTCTTCCAGACACTTTGATTCAATACTACTTATATCCCACATACAGAGTAGGAGCCTGCCTAATAAAATTTAAACACTCTGATGCAAAGAGTTGGGGTTTGAACCACCAACCACACTGCTAATGGCTCTAACAACTGGACTGCTGCTCCTGTTGAAAAGAGGAAACTGGAGGGCTTTCAGAGCACATTCAATAAAAAACACTTTGGATAAATGTTAAGATGTTTATTTACAACTTTTAAGTGGACTGTTTGCTCTAACACAAATCTAATGTGAGAGATCAGAGAGATGCCGCTGACACATAAAGTTTCTACATAGCTTTGCTTATCAAATTACATTAAACAAATCTTATTGACAAATCAGTGCTTGCTGTTATTTGATAGGCTTACATTTGAGTCGCAGTGTTCAAGGGTACATGTCAGCTCCTAAAAGTCTTGTAGAGTTAAACTATAGGGGTTATCATTTCCTTCAAAGCTGCACTAATGTCATTTAAAAAAAAAGAGACAAAATCTGGAATATGCACAATCTGTAAATTTTGGTGTCTTTTCCAAGTTTTGAAATGTCTTTTTTTGTAGATTTAGCTGATTTCTAACCTTGTTAAATAAAAAGTGTCACAGGAAAGCTGGACAATAAATGAGTGTTTCCACACACACACACACACACACACACACACACACACACACACACACACACACAGAGGGAGTTTATAACTTTCTCATGTGTTTCATGATATAAATTAAACCGATTTATTCCAGTAGGAACTTTGTTGATGCTGCACATTACACATTAGATGTGCTGTATATTACTAAGAGGTATGCTATGTTATTGCATAATAGCAACAGCTGTGCAACAAGACCTCATCAATATATACACACACACACACACACACACACACACACACACTCATAAGTGGCTAGTTACAGGACTGTTAGGTACAAAGGCAACAACATACACATACAAACACATATCTTTCCCTGATACGAAGTCTAAAAATCTACCAAATGTGACGATGAGTGAGCATTACATAATATACCAGTGAGCCTACATTTACCTCAAACGTGGTGAAACAGTATGTCAGGTCACTGGTAACATAAACTGCCTCTAGATTACGTTCTGTTGGCATCCTTTTTGTTTTACATGAGGGTCTGCTGCATGTGTCTCCCAGTGCCATCAGCTAGGACCTCCCCCTGCCCGGCCTGCTCCCAGATTACACCATCCTCCCCCACCACTTCTGTCTGCTGAAGAGAGGTGGCTGAGGGAGAGGAGGAAGAGAGCACTGGATTGTCCAACATAAAGCTGTCCCCGCTGGTGGAGACGGGAACCTGGCTCTGGGTTTCCGAAGTGGACATTAGAGGAGGGCTCGGGGATGCTGTCTGCAGAGGCTGGAGCTGCTGAGAGGCTGCTAGAATGGGGATCTGCTGGATGTGGGTCTGGGACTGGCTGACAGGCTGGAAGGTCATCTGCAGGATTTGTGTTTGGCCCTGGCTCTGCTGCTGGGAAGTGTATGACTGAAGAGGCTGGAGCTGCGGTTGATGCTGGGTCACCACTGAGTTGGAATGGAGGGTCAGCTGTTGGATTTGGGGCTGCTGGGCAGTCTGCACAAACTGGACGGGCATCTGAAGCTGGAGCTGGGTCTGCTGCTGGTTCTCGGCCGGTGATGGGGGGTCGATAGGGGACAGAGCAATTGTCACAGGCACCTGCATGGTGTGGAGGCTCTGATCTTGTCCCAGCAAAACCACCTGGTGACTCACCTGCTGGGTCACATGACCCATCTGGGAGACCTGAGGCACATGCTGCCCATCCTGGCCCAGCTGGTCCACCTGGCCGTCTTGCCCAACTTGGTTCGCATCCAAGCCAGTGACCTCTGCTTGCGCAGGATTTCCCGGGAGCTCCAAGAGAGAGGCAGGGGTTGTGATGAGAGCGCCGGCATTTGCTGCCAGCGCCTCAGCAATTAGCACCTCCGGGTGGCTCTTGGCCTTGTGTGCCACCACGCAGTCCTTCTTCTCAAACTTCTTTCCACAAATAGAGCAGGAGAACTGATAGGTAGCATCAGCATCGTGCTTCTTCATGTGCCAGTTGAGAGATGCCTTCTGGCGACAAGTGAAGCCACAGATCTCACACCTATTCACACCAGGAAGCAAGAAATTTAATGAACCACTGAGCTGAAAATAAACTGAGAAAACAAAATGTGTGAACAGAGAAGTACTGACTGTAGGGGCTTTTCTCCAGTGTGTATCATGCGGTGCACGGCCAGATTGTGGGAACTCTTGAAGGCGCGAGCACAAAACTCACAGATGTAGTCCCTCTGGTCTAGTTCCCAAAAAAAGACTCAATTACAGATGGATTATCCATGTAATTTCATTGATTAGAACTAAAAATAAGCACAGTAACTAATGCATTGTTTTATACCATCATGAACAGACGTTTACATGCACTCATCATGGACATGAATATTCTGGTAATTTGAGCTTTTTAATGATTTTTCCTTGAACTGTTCTTTTTCCAGGGTGGAATGATTGTACAGCACACATCTTTAATTACTTAAAAAAAACAAGACTTGGGTGCACAAGTTTGAATTTATTTTGGATTTTTTCAAATTCACACAGGGTCAAATATATACATACACCCTGACTAACATTTTGTTAAATGTCCCTTAACAAGTTAAACACATTTGGTAGCCACCAACAAGCCTAATAGCTGGTTATTTGATAGATTTCTTAGAAGAATTAGCAGAGGTCATTTAAATAGCTGGTTTCCTGGTACAGACCCAGTTTAGTCCACAAATATTTGGGTTAAAGTTGGGGCTTAGAGAAGACCATTCCAGAAGCTTAATGTTAGCCTGCTTTATTGGTCCCAAAACCAGTTTTGATGTGGGTTTCACATCATTGTCCTGTTGGAACACCCAACTGTGTCCAAGTTTCATCTGTTTAGCTGATGACTTAAAGTGGAAGAATGTGGCAGTAGTCCTCCTTCATTATTACATCCACTTTGTGCAACGTACCAGTACCACTGACAGCAAAACAGCCACAGAGCATGCTGCTACCACCACCATGCTTGACAGTTGGTACAGTATTCTCAGGTTTCAAAGCCTCAACTTCCCTCCTCCAAATGTCTAACTATAAAACATTTCTCCTGAAGCCATTTGGCTTGCCCATGTAGGCAGCTGCAAATTTCAGCCACATTTGAAGGTGTCAAATTTGGAGCAGGGGCTGCTTCTTTTCTTGGTCAGCGGCACCCTCTTGCCAGCATAAAAAGTATATCTGTTGTACTCAATTAGAATAACCAATGAAACGTTAATAGGCCTTGGACTTGTCAAGTTGAAATACACTGTAGAACCTTCAGCAACACTTATTAAAAGATTTGAGTGTTGTGATGGCATCAGCCACACAGGGGTAAATTAGTCCATTTTTCACTCGATTAGTTTTCTTTGCAGTTTTCTTCATTAATATAATTCATTAATCATTTGGTTAAACCTAACACTGGTATTATGAGGCGCGCACATAGTAACATTGTGTGGTTTTTCTAAAATGTTTTGTTATATTAATTATGTTTCTCTTTCTTTGAGTTACCTGGGTTTGAGCGGTGGCTGTTTCCTGTCTGGGCA